CCAATGTTTCATAATGTTCACGTCAGTATTAGCCAGTAGAATTATTATGTATTTGATACTGTATCACTTGGGTGAGTTTTCTTAATTAATATTTTTGTGTCTGTCACTGATTGATAAACCGTGTTTTGCCTTATGCTTGCTAGTAGTTGAAAGCCAATTCATCAAAATAACTGGGTTTATAGCATTTCATTAGCAAAGTTGACCATCCATACCAATTGATTACTTTTAATGCTTCTGATTTTGATGTTTTTAAAGGCTGTAGAGGAAAAGGCACTGGCAAGAAGCTACAGTTGTTGGGTGCCAGCCCTGGCTTTGCTACTGAGGATGTGGGGCACCTTATTCTGTCTCTTAACATCTGTAGCCTTCAGTTTATCCATCTGTCAAACAAGAAGCTGAGTCACAGACCCATACCAGAGGGAATACTGAAAGGATGTTCTTTAAGAGAAAAGGAAGAAATGAAGAACAATTAAAAGTAAAGAAAATGTAAAACAATTATAATATATTCAAGTCTAACACTGATTATATAAAATGACACTAAGATAGATAGAACAACAATAACATTCCAGTTAGGTTGTGATAAATGAAGTAAAAATATTCTTAAAGTTTTTGCATTGACCAGGAAGAGGATAAAAAATCTCTGTCAATATTGGATTTTTATGAGATAATGACATATGCTATAATTTCTAGGATAACTCTTAAGAATGTTGCATGTCTGCTAAGTTCATGGTGGGATGAAGAGCATATAGAATATTTAAAAATGCTCAAGCATATCCAAAGACAACAAGAAAGGAAAGAGAAAGGGGAAAGAAATAAATAAAACAAATGGTCATTAAGAAAATATTTTAAAATCCTCATATGTCAGAATTATATTAAGTAGAAATACTTGAATTAAAAGACAAAGGTTGTCCGATGGAATAAAAACTACAACTCTGTATACTAACTTATGGATGTGGCAAAGTTGGAAAGAGTAGAAAGTCAGAAGAATAGAAAGAAAAACTCTTTCCTAAGAATGAATATTCAACAATTATATGTTTGTACACATAAAGTAATATCTCTAGATTATATAAAGTGAAACACAAAACTATAAAGAAACAAAGCATGTATATTTTTATACACATCTCCCTTTAACTGATAGAACAAGCAAACATTCTAATAAAGATATAGAAAATTTGAACATGATCAAAAATTTGACTAAATAACACACATAGAACATCATAGAATTCATATCCTTTCAAGTACATGTTTGACCATATGTGGGGCCATAAGGAAATCTCAACAAACTTCAAAGAATGATAACATAGAGAGAATGTTCTCTGACCAAAATGCAGCAAGCGAGAGAAAACAGTTGAATTTGTAATTCAAGACCTTCCCATAAAGAAAATACGAAATACAAATCACTACACAGTACCCATTCCATTATGCCTAATGGGAAGGAAATAAATAATGCTAAATTTTTGCACTGACCAAGAAGTTCTTGGCCTGTGGAGAAAGTGACATCATAGCGAAGACCAGGTAGAAGCCGCTGACATTTCCCCTTCACGCACATGGTGTCCCGCTCAACCAAGAAGATAAACACAATATCACATTCTAGGTTGATGGTGGAATTAGGACCACTCTTAAGAATCTAAAGAATACTAATCTAAACTTCCTATTTTAACTTTTAAAATTGCCAATATGGCACAGAAAATAGATGACAATTGCAGAATACTATATTATTGCAAACGTAGCCAAGCAGGCACCTCAATATATCTGTAGTGTCAGACATGATGTTGTGGCTAGGATTAGTCAGGTCTTAGGTACATGATATGTGGCTATTAATCTGGAGAATTTGCTTATTTTTAGGCTCAGCAGAAGCAGTCTGTATTCCTATGTAACACAACATGGCGGTGATCTACTGTGTGGATGGCATAGTGCTGACTCAGGAGATGTAAGCAGGAGGAGGGAGTATGCAGGAGGCCTTGAGAAGACATGTACTCAAGAAGGTGGAGATAAACCCTATGAAGACTCAAAGTAAAATGGATGATGGTTGCTTTGCAGCCACACTCAATGGTGGCTTTGAAGGAATGGCAATGGAGACTCTTCCTGGTGGCAGAGCTTTGAGTGGCATACCTGGCCATCCACCTTGTGTAGAAGGAGAAGTGGTTTGTGTGTGTGTGTGTGTGTGATGACAGTGGTTAATGGTCTGATTAGTTACCAGGAGCCTGAAAGTACTAAAAATCTGAGACAAAGAATAGTTAAGACAAAGGAGGGCACAGGCACATGAGTAGTTTTATGGAGTAAACACCACATATTAAGACTTTTGTATCACATGTTTATGTCCACCAAAAAGCATCCACCACAGAAAAGTACTGAGCCATCAAGTACACAAAATGAGTTGCCTGGATGATGTTTGCTGGCTCTTGTCTTCAATCACCACACAACAAGCATAATGGGCTCATGAGCAGAGTACACACAGTGGCACAGATGAAGGCAGTATGTGGGCCAATGGCATGGGCTCCCACTTGTCAAGACAGATTCTGCTATTGCCCCCACCCACTGCCTACAACTGAGACCAACACTGGAACTATTCCTTGGGGAGGCCAATCAGCCACTTAACAGCCAGCTGACTACATTAATCCCCTTCCATCCTGGAAAGTTCAGTGGTTTGCTCCCCTACGAATAGACACCTTTTGGGGGTTTGAGTTTTCCTTTGTGTTTGCTATTTGTAGATCTTCAGCAAACACCACAATCCAGGGTTTTACGAGGACCTGATCGACAGACATAGGATTCCAAAAACATATCCAAAGGAGGGACCAAGGAGAAAATGTACAGGAGCAGGCTCACGACCATGAGATTGACTGGTTATATCATACTCAAACCATTCAGAGGCAGCCAGCCTGATGGATTTGGAATGTAATGCTGATCTGAGGCACCATCTCAGAGGTAATGCCCTGCAAGCCTGGGGTGCCATCTTTCAGGATGCAGTATCTACGTTGCATCAGAGATCTCCATATGGCACTGTGTTCCAAATGGGATCCTGGATTCAAGAGCTGAAAGCCGTTAGTGGCCCCCTTCATCTTCAATGACTCATTGGAGAATTTTTTTTCTTCCTATTCCTGCAAGAGTGGGCTTTGCAGGGTTGGAAGCCCTGGTCCCCTAAAGAGGTGCCTTTTTGCTAAGGGACAAAGCAAGAGTCCAGTTAAACTACAGTAGACACCTGGGCACCTTGGGTTTTCTTGTGTCTTGGAAGTAGCAATTATTGGCAGGGTTAGCTGACCTCAATCAGCAAGATGATCACAGTAGGGCAGGGAAGGTATGTGGGGGACTCAGAGGATACACCCTGGTTTTCCTGGGTCCTCCTAGGCTATCTGTAACGGTGTATAGACAGGTATAGCAGCCCTGGCCCAAGAACAGCATGGTCACCAGGGGCTCAGACTCCTTAGGAAAGAGGATGTTCAGAAGTTAACAAAGGGTGACTGGAATTCTGATAGTAGAGAGGGAGACGATAGGCTAGCTGTGGCTCAGAAAGTATTTGCAATGGCAGGAGTTGTAGTTTGCCTTGCTAATCTTGCTCTTTTAAATTTTCTCTCAGGAAGAGACACCTACAGAAACCTTGGAAAACTGCTCCCTGAAACATCTGCATAAGTGGATCTGTGTAGCACAAGGGGTACAGGGGTATACTGCCACAGCCACAGGGGGCGTGGCTCAGCTCCCCATTCTGATGAGCTCAGAGAAGAAGCTGTACTTCCAACTCCATCTTGGGATTAAATATATATCTCCGAGGCTCTATCTTGGATCCCAGAGGACCCAAACTATTATCACCTGTATTTTTTAAAATATTTTTTTTAGTTATAGTTGGACACAATACCTTTATTTTATTTATTTTACATGGTGCTGAGGATCGAACCCAGCATCTCACATGTGCTAGGCGAGCGCTCTACCGCTAAGCCACAACCCCAGCCACCAACTTGTATTTTAAAACCACAGAAATGAGGCAGCTACCTGAGACCCCATGCACAGGTAGTGTTTGTCGCATTCAGGAGGGAGTTACTTATTTGCATACCTTCCCTCCTTACTATTTAAGCTGACTTTGTAGCTAATGAAGAGGAGTTTGTCAGAGGAAGGTCTTAGCTTTACACTCAGAAAACTCAAAACACAAGTATGTGCTTTCTTGTTGCCCTGCTCTTGAGCACAAATAGCAGCTCTAGTGCTCGAAGGAGATGGGAACTGTTTGAGGCTTCTAACAAGATGTATGCACACGAGTGTGGATCTGGGCTGTGGAAGGTCTGGTTGTCTTGTAATGATCTTGCCTCCAGAAGCAAAGCAAACCTCTGTTCTTTCTCCTCACCAGCTCCTGGGAGTCAACCTCAGTGTTATCCTGCCAGAATCCACAGTCACAGATAATATTTTTAGAAGCCAAAAGGTAATAATGAGAAAGACATTTTTATAGCATTTTTATGATGTACTCAAAAAGAAAGCTTTTTTTGCAATTAATTTTCCTCTCAATCTCCCTCTGTTATCAGGAAAGAGTCATAGCAAAGTTAGCGTCTCTTTTTTATGAAATAAAAAAAAACAAAGTACAAAGTTGAATAGCTATTAGGAAGGCAGTAAGGATATAATGTGAAAAGACCACTCTAAAATTCAAATTTCTTCCAGTTCAGTACATTAGTGAATGTCTCCTGGGACCATCATGTAACAAAGAAACCCTTGAAGTCCTGGGTTTCCTCACTTCATTTTATCCGGGTCAAGCTAGGGGGTGTGTGTGTATGCCTATAACATGTTCCGACTTGGGTAGATAAGGGGGTATATGTGATGATAAACTTGTGATAGAGGAAGGTGATGGGTTAAAAGGTCAAGGTAACACAATTTTTTAGTAGACAGAGCTGAAGTCTCCAGACTCTAAAGGCTGTGCTTTGGCTACTACTGCTGTTCCAGAAACACTCAGATGAGCATTTGTGTATGCTTCTTGTTCCCCTCCCTGTCTCCACAGGGTGATGATTAACTAAGTCTCCCACCAGAGGTTATTATTCATTCACATTTTAATATTTGCAGCATATGATTTTTTTCTACATGACTTTGATTTTTTGGCACCCCAACCTTTAACATTCTCTGCAAAAGAAGGGTAAACACTTTCCTAGTAAATTTTTAAATGTACATCATCTTTTATTTATTACAGTCCATAAATATATTTTTATGTTAAACCATTATAGAATTCATATTTAATGTACAAGTCTCCAAAGTTAAGAATCTATTATATTCAGTCCTTTAATTTCAAACATTGAAACCTGAGAGGTAAAACTGCCATCTTAGTTTTGTATTTCCAAACTTAAATTTAGAAGAACAAGTTAAGTAACTTCAGAAATCTCAAGTAAGGAATTAATAGGCTAGAGAATGAATTAGTAATCTTGGCTTAGTTTAATTGCACTTGGTTTATTCTTATTACTCATTTACCTTTTTCCTTACAAATCTAAACTGAATGAAAACTCTACTTGTAGATAGTACAATAGAACTACAAAGAGATGAGACGTATCCATTCATTCTCTGCAACTCTGGAAAATGATGACTTCATAATGCTAATCTCTCATGTCTTGAGCCTTTTACTGAGCAGTGAATGCTGATTTGTGCACATTCCATTTCTCTTTCTGCTGGGATTTTCTGTGGGGTCATTGATGCTGTCACTGAGCAATTCCACATGTGCGTCCTTGTGCATCTGCAAGACAGACACACAAAACTCTCACCACTGCACCAGCCCAACCTTTGCAAGACCTACCTCACAGACGAACACACACAAACCCCAGGGAAAAAAGAACAAGACAAAGCAATATTGATTGTTCCTCTCTAACTCCCTTATTAGTATCTTCAGTAGACATTTGAAATGTGATGGCAACATAAGATCTGGGACTCTAAGTCAAAATTTCATACATGTGGGTTGATTTTGCTAACTCTGGAAAGGGATTTCCTGTGGTGAACTTTTGTTTTTGCAGGATGCTTTTCAGTGCTGGGTCAATGTGTTTTTGCAGCTATGATTCTATCCCCGACTTGAAAAACTGCTCTTGAACTTCATATAAAAATGGATTCCTATATTCCTGTGTTGAGTGAAGAGACAGAAACATTCCCATTAGCAAATCATTTGCTCTCACTCAAACAGCCCAGTGTTTTTCATCATGGAAAAGACTGTTGACTGCACTGGATGTGCGGGCGGCCTCTGGGCACTGAGTGTTCCTTCACGCATCTAAGCCACAAACAAATAACAAGTTATGCAACAAAACCTCTCGAGTTTTTGCCTTTTTGTTTCCTAACCCAGGGTGCTCTTTCTCACACCCTGGGCAGCTTGGGAAGAGAATGGAAAGGCCCCTGTGCTAGAAACACATCAAATGCAGAAACTAGGCCACTTAGTGCCAGATGATTCCCCGGCTGCGTTTAGAAGCTTCCACTTCAGTTCATTTCAGAACCAAGCTCTGGCACTGTGGAGCCACACTACAAACGCCTCTGCTGATGGTAAAGAGCAATGCGTGGGAACCAGAGGCGGTTATGCAGCTTAGGTCATTTATTACCATCTCTCTATATATTTTGAAAAAGCTCTCTTTGCAGGCAGAGGATATTCGTGTGTGTGTGTGTGTGTGTGTGTGTGTGTGTGTGTGTGTGTGTGTGTGTTATAGAAATGATCCTGTAAGAATGGATCTTTTGCTTTATTTCTCTCAAATACTGTGATATAGACTTTGGAAATTTAATTGTGCACTCAAATTTGCAACAA